TTTGGTTTTTCGAGACAGGGTTTCTCTGTGTAGCTTTGCGCCTTTCCTGGAGCTCACTTGGTAGCCCAGGCTGGCTTCGAACTCACAGAGATCCGACTGACTCTGCCTCCCAAGTGCTGGGACTAAAGGCGTGCGCCACCAACGCCCGGCTTCATAGTCTCTTTCTTAATCTAGTTTCCTGTCACTTGCAAGCTGTTGAAATAAGCTTGTAACAAGAAGCATTTTTTTCTTCCAATTTGTGCTCTAACTTGCTTACTGTCAAAATGCTTTTGTAAAATGTCAATCTGACAAAAATACGCTTTACCTAAAACCAGTGGTCCTTATTGTCCACCGGATATAAATCAAGACAGGCAAGGTGGCATGGCTTTAATACCAGCACTCCAGAGACAGAGGCCACAGATCACTGAGTTTGAAACTAGCCTGATTTACATAGAGAGTTCTGGGTCAGCAAGGGCTACATAGTGAGACCCTGTCGAAAATAAAAATAAAATTCAAAAAGACAATATAAACTAAGTTGCTTACCGATGGAATGCCATTTGTGTGTGAGGTCCTTATGAGGTGCTGCAGAGATGGTTCAGTTCGGACATAGAGTATATGCTGTACAAGTGTGAGGGATGAAGTTTGACCCTAACACCCCATGAAAACAAGTGCACGCACACATGTACATCCTATGGGGTACTCTTGACCTAAAGATACTTTTTTACTGTCTTTCTGCTCCCCACCCCACCCCACCCCCCTCCGCAGGGTTTCTGTATATAGCCCTGGCTGTTCTGGAACTCTGTCAGGCTAGCCTCAAACTCATATCTGCCTGCCTCTGCCTCCCAAGTGCTGGGATTAAAGGCATGCACCACCACTTCCCAGCCTGTCTTTCTTTTTTGGGTATTCAAGATGGTTTCTCTGTGTAGCCCTGGCTGTCCTGGAACTCTGTAGACCAGGGTGGCCTTGAACTCAGATCCACCTGCCTCTGCCTCTCCAAGTGCTGGGATTAAAGGCATGCGCCACTCTGCCTGGCCAGCCTATCTTTCTGTCTTACGTGCATCCTTATGATGTATGAAACACTTTGTAACATCTGTTTGAATGCCTTTTGCTTTCACTAGGCTGTGAACCTCTAGAATGTGAGAGATTTGTAGTGTTAAGTTTCAATCCAGTCATACAGAACATACTCAGCAGACAACAGATAAAAGAATTCCCTCTGTAGGCTCAGTATTAGAATCACTTAAGTTTACTTTCCACAGCTGAACAGCAGATGGCACTAAAAGGCCACATAACAAAATTTCCCTAAGAAATATTTTTGTCCCAACCTTGTCTGACTTTGCCCTGATCCTAGAAACGAGTATGTTGGTACAGGTAAAACCCCTGTTTTCTCCCTCAGCCAAATAGCAAAGATTGCAAAATGATTCAGGAGCTTGATCTCCCAGGGGGGGAAACAGGCCCAGAGAAAGGGATAGTTGAAGGAGCATTTTCATATAGTTAGGGTTTTTTCCCTTTTATTATTATTACAAGAAAACTTTATGTGGACAGATGCCTCATTCTTCCTCCAGAAACAAAGAAGGAAGCTGTCGAGTTGAGAAGGCCATTGCTTAGGGAAGAGAGAGAGAGTAGTCATATGGAACTGCTTGTGAGCAAGCAGAGTTGGTCTTCCTCCTCAGCGGCCTGTGAAAATTTTCTAGACACCAGGTTTAGACAAAACATGGTTTTAGGTTCCCATTTCTTCAAAAACAGCAGTGGGGTCCTGGACACCCTTGTCAAATAGGTACTTGTAGGAGCCTCAGGCTACACCTTCACCTCCTGAGTTGGCTTTGGTGTCTTCCATCTTCCCTGCCTAAAACCTGTTTGGTGGAAAAGTCTTCAGATGAGTACAGATTAAAGACTAAGGAGTTTTAAAACTGGGAGTGATTTTATTAACCACTTGTGCATGCTCTTGGAGCCCTGTGTATGTACCCTTAACCCTATTTCATGATAAGCAGCGCTGCTAAAGGTTAAAATAATAATAATAATTACAGGCTTTGGAGTTAGATTTCTCTGGATTCAAATCCATATTGGCAGCCATCTATGCCACTGGGCAAGTATTTTAATCTTTATGTTTATTTTGTTTCTTGAGACAGGACTTATGTGGCCCAGAAAGACTTCAAATTTATATGTAGTGAAAGCTTGATAGCCGAATCCTGCTGCCTCTCTGCCCTCCGAGTACTGAGGTTACAGGTGCAAGATTTGGGTCACTAAGCCTGGTTTAACCTTTCGTAAGATTTCAGCTTTGAGAAAGGCACATTTTGTAGGCCTTTGTATGCACTGGGGAGGCAGAGAGGTGGATCTCTGAGTTCAAGACCAGCCTGTTCTACATATCTCATTCTGCGCTATAAAGTGAGACTGTGTCTTAAAACCTCAGTTTCCTTCTAAACTAACATATGTCTTATAGAGTCATCCTTTGCTGGGTGGTGGTGGCACACACCTTTAATCCCAGCACTTGGGAGGCAGGGAGTAGATCTCTGAGTTTGAGACCAGCTTGGTCTACAAAATGAGTTCCAGGATGGCCAGGGCAACACAGAGAAAGAAGATAAAGATGAGATCTTTATCACAAGATTCTCCTGTTTCAAGCTCCTGAATGCTAGGATTATGGGCGTGTGCCACCATGCCTGGCCTTACAGGGTTGCCTTACAGGGTGCTGTAGCATTAGAAACTGTAGTTGTCAAAAACTTGCATAGTGTAAGTGACACTGTATTGATACTCACAGCATGGTGGCTTGAAACACTATGCTTTAAGGGATTTAGACCATCAGAAATGTGAGTCAGATTTAGGGGTCTGCTGTATAAAGGCTGAAGGTATAGCTCAGTTAGAGAACACTTACCTCACATGTGTCAAGTTTGAGTTCACGCTCTGGCCCCACAAGAATAAATAAGCAAGCAAATAAAAATATGTGTTTGTGAGAATTTTTGCAGGTAACTGTTTGCAGTAACATTCTTGATTAGTTTGATGAATATTTTGGACTATGGCAGTAAAGCCATTACCTGTAA